CGACCGGCCTGTGAATTCTGGGTACAATGACCCCCGATCACAGACGTTACACCGACTGGCCTGTGAATTCTGGGTACGATGACCCCCGATCACAAATGCTACACCGACTGGCCTGTGAATTCTGGGTACGATGGCCCCCGATCACAAATGCTACACCGACTGGCCTGTGAATTCTGGGTATGATGGCTCCCCCACCCCGATCACAAATGTTACACCGACCGGCCTGTGACTTCTGGGTACCTTCTTTGCCTCCTTTTTACAAACAAACACATAGCACCAAGTTTAAGCAGCTCCCCTGTATCTGGAGAGGATCAGAATGTCGTGGAAGGTACCTTTCCAGTTGCCACCCTCATTTCTCTCAAATGGCCCTCTGAGGATTACTGTTACTTTATCCATTTAATTTAACCTCAGGTGAAAGGTAAGCTGAATGACAGCCAGGAAACATTGTGTAATATTAGCTTCCATACCACAATAATTCAAAATACAATTAAGGTACTTCAGAAAACCCTAAAAAAACTTTGAGACAACAAGGTGTAGAGCTGGAGGAACACAGCAGGCCAAGCAGCATCATAGGAGCAGGAAGGTTGACGTTTCGGGCCTAGACCCTTTCTGATGAAAGGTCTAGGCCCGAAACGTCAGCCTTCCTGCTCCTCTGGTGCTGCTTGGCCTGCTGTGTTCATCCAGCTCTACACCTTGTTATCTCAGATTCTTCAGCATCTGCAGTTCCTACTACCCCTAAAAAACTTTGCAGTTTCCCCGAAACATTTTCTGATACATACTGCTGAAAAGCCCGTGTGCATTTTGTTTTTGAACAGAAACCAATAGGCAATGCTGTCTTCATGTCATGACTCATTAAAAATAACTGCAGTGCTGATCCCAAGTTATGCTTTAATTAGAACGGGGGTGGGGAGGGGGGCTACCGAGCAAGATGTGACGTTACAGAACAATCTTTATCAATCTGTTATCGTGGGAGCAGCTAATTGATTTTGTCATCACAATCACAGCAGCCGTGTCATTCTCAGTGAGATTCAGGTTCCATGCCAGAGTTCCCAACTCGCACAGCAATGCTGAGGGTGTGCCACACAATCAGAGGTGCTGACCTCCAGGGCGGGACATTGAGCTGAGGCTGTCTGCTCTTCAAGTGGACGCAGAGCAAACAAAAAACCACATGAAGCAGAGCAGGGGAGCTTTCCACGGGGTCCTGGTGCCAATATTTATCAAGCAATGTCATCAGAACAGACTGTCAAGCCATTTATCTCTCTGCTGTCAGTGGGATCTTGCTAGACCATAACCATCATGGCTGCTCTGATAATCCTCAACTCTACTTTCCTGCCTTTTCCCCATAACCCTTGGTCCCCCTTCCTGATTAAAAATTTATCTTAGCCGAGCCTCAACAGCCCTCTGCAGTAAAGAACTCCCATAGTTTCAAAACAATAAATTCCTTCACATCTTTGCCTTAGATGGGTGATCCCGGACTCAGATGTTAGTCTCTGATCCTAGACTCTACCACAAGAGGAACAATCTCTCCACACTTACCCTGTTGAGTTCCCTAACAACCTTGTACGTTTCAATACAGTCGCCTCTCATTCTTCTCAACTCCATCGAGTATTGGCCCAATTTATTCAGAAAATAATCAAGAAAGTAAATGGAATGCCGGTCTTAATAGCTAGGGGACTGGAGTACAAGGACACAGAAGTTATGCTGCAGTTATACAGAACTGTAACTAGCTTCCAGTTGGAGTACTGTGAGCAGATCTGGGCAGCACACCTCTACCTTGGAGGGAGTAGACTGTAGGTTTTAACGAGAATGATACTCGGACTTCAGGGGTTAAATTATGAGGAGAGACTAAACAAATTGGGGATAGTAGGAACTGCCGATGCTGGAGTCTGAGATAACAAGGTGTGGAGCTGGATGAACATAGCAGGCCAAGCA